CGGGGACAGCGATGCTTTCTGCATAGTTTTCGATCCGATTGCAGCCTTTAGTTGATCCCCCTTCTCCCCTCTGGCTTATGATTTAAGTGGATGCCCAAAGTCCCTCAAGCCTCCAATATTTCTAACCACTACTGTGCTGAAGTGTCCACTCAGATAAAAGCACTTCAATGCTATAAACATAATACATTATGAGGTTTAGTTAAGATGCATGAAAGCGTTCAACAACTTATTTGTTCAAAAAAAAAATCTTAGCACCCACCACAATATCTGCATTCAGTCTATAAGACATGGCTCCCAGCCTCTGGAAACTTAGTCCCAGAGCCAGTCCACAGTGTGCATCTGTCATGTGTCTGCGGAACTCAGATCAGGTTAAGTCTTCACTACTAACCCAAAGCATGATGTTGAGTGCATCTGGGATAAGACTGATGCACTTTAAAGGTGTTTAAGTGTGTAGGGGAGCAGGGGGAAAGTGTAGAGCACGCAAGAACTGGGAAAGATTTAGAGTGTTTTATGTTGTCTGATATCTGAATGTGTGTATTATTTTATGGATTACAAAGTAATGCCACATAATCTATCTCCTTTGATATTATGGATGGGAAGACATTGTTCCCATACACAATAGGCCTGAAGTTCAAGAAATATAAGCAAAGTATTCAAACCAGATAGTCAGTGAGAGGTGGAAGGAGAACTCAAAAGCAGATATTAGGGCCCAGGTTATTGAGGACAAGCTTTGACTATTTCCTCCTTGAATCTTGAGCCAGCAGGGTCCTATCAAGCAAATAAATGACCTAATGATCAGTATAGGACTCCTTGGCAGAGGGCCTTCTGGAATTTTCCAATGGACATGAGCAAATGGAATGTGCTACCTCAGCCTTGCTCTGCTATTGGAGAGTGTGAGAAGAGTGGCATTTAATTCTGACACTACATTCGAAAGGCTAGATGAGCACCACCAGAAATGCTCACACAGGCCCAACCACAGAGAGTTGGCTTTATTGGTCTGGGCATTGGTGTATTTAAAAGCATGGAGGTAAACTCAAGGTGCAGCCAGGTGAGCCCCCCTGCTTTCAAGGCCCCTAGGGACTATGGCTACTTGAGAATCCTTTGATGTCTTTATCCATCCAGGTCAAGAGCAATGGCTTTGCATTTAATGTGCATCATTATTCAGACAACTTGAAAACTCGTACTTGTAGGTTACTTAATAACTTGTGGGTTACTTATTGGGTTCTCTGAATAACTTAATCGATACCCTGAGCTTCTTAATTTATACTAAATGGAAAAGTTGCTGATGGTGAGTATAAAAATAAATAAATACAATAAGCATACACAAGAGAATGCATACTTGGAATCTTTACTGCCACAGTTGCTTTGCAAAATGCTGTTGCTAAGAGCATTTGCTGGCAATTACCCTCAAATACTTGGTTCTGAATGGAATAGCAAATGACCCTAAATGAAAATGGGGAGACATTCTAGACACATCATAAAAGCATCATTAAGCATAGTTCTAGATGAGCACACCTAGATCAGCAAAACTGAAGTCCTGCTAGAAAAGAAAACCTAGAATGTGGCTGGGACCTTTCCCCACCCAGTGAAACAGATACAGGACCAACACCACCCATCATATCATCCTCAGCCCTCAAAACAGCCAGGCTCCTGTCCTGATATAGTCACCGATTTAAATACAGTACTTCTAGATATTTGTTATATCTCATCTAACTAAGAGGCGCAGACCACTTTTCTCCTGAATTGTATGTATTTTCTTTAGCAGAGAAACAGCAAAACATGCGCCAACTTCAACAGTTCCTACAGATGCCATTTGGCGACATCACTTACATTTGCTGAGTGGTGCAAACATTCTCACCCTTCTTTGCTGAGTTTTCCCTCTCTCATTACCATACATTCCCTGTGCCATAAGGTCCCGATCTAATTTTTCCAGTTGCTGTTGTCAGTTTGATCCCATATACACAGTCTTAAAGGTGTGTCATGCTCCAGGCAAAGTTTTTTACTAGTTAAGCTCTCAACTACTATGTCGTGTTAAGATGACTTCAGAGGATAGTCTTGGTGAAAGGTTTGCAGATTATCGGAGAGGCACAGAACATGTTTAATGGCAGATAATTGTAATAAAGTGATCTGGCCAAGAGGGCGCAGTGGTAATAATAAATTCAAATCAGATTCATAGAATCCATAATTTAATGATAGTGAAAATCACCTTCATTTTCCATATCATCTTTCTTAAAAGACAGCAAAATCACCCAACATTCAAATCATTATTTTTACTTTCCTAGCAGTCTTATAAAGGACTTAGGAGGAAGATAATACTGCCTTACTTATCAAAAATGAGTTTCATTCACACCCAAAACGTCAGTGCTAACTGACATTCGTATCAATACCTAACATCCCTCAGTGCAATAGAAGATCAATCATAACAAAACCAATATCTCCAGGTACGTTAAGTTTTCACTGTAAAATTCATAGGAGAATCCATGCTTCTAAATCTCTGGCCTTCCCTACTAGGTCTTTGCCCCTCCTCCAGTGGGTCTTTATACAGGATTTAGAAACAGGCACTCTGTGGCTGATGGAAATGAGAATTATTCATTTGTTTTAATGCTTTTGGAACACTGAATCCCCAAACAATTAATCCTCAGTGGAACATCTTTCAGGAGACTAAAGAGTGCATTATAATTTTTCAAAAACACCACCACAGATAAAATAAAACATGGCACTTTTACACAGAGCTTCAGCCAAAGACTTTCAGAGTCTAGAAACATGCACTCTACCTCCAAGTACTGACTTCAAACTGAGTTTCGGATAGATGGCATTCAACAGCTGGCCAGACATAAAGCAAAGGAGAGTTGAAAACAAAAGAAGCAGGGCTGAAAACCACAGACATTTCCCAGAAGAGTGTATTTTATTATCAACAAATACTTAGAGAGAGAGGGGTGGGTAGGGAATTAAAAATTTGTGGAATAATAAATATTATGTTATGAATGGAAGAAAAGAATGCTAAATGCATTTTAAATGAAGGAATAAAGCAGAAGACTATGAAGAGTAAAAGACAGATGGTACAAAGCGATTAAAATGTGGAAGATGTACTGGATTTTTCTTTCTTGAAGGAAATATACAGAAGGAGAGGTGAAAAAATGTAAGACACATGCTTACTTTCCAAAACTAAAATGTGTAATCAGGTACAAGCAAACAGTTATACTAAGACATGTAAGTTATTTATGATTTATTAAAGCCAATACTCCGATTTTCCTTTTTCTAAATTCAGTCCCATTACCAAACCCAGCTGATACAAATTAGAATTAAAGATCATGAAAATAGGCCAGCAGTTTAAAAAAAAAAAAAGTAGATCAAAGCTGGACCTCTGGTGGTAGAATCACCTTACTGCATCCCCAATCCCCATAAGCAGGAAGCTCAAGTTTTTAAATTAACTGGTTTAACTTTAGGGGGAGGAGGAGACATGATTTTGAACAGCTAAACACTGAAGCTATATTTCATCTTTAGCTCTTTGCCTCCAACAGTACCTGGAAAGAAAGGAGGCGTTCATGGCGACAGTGTCCCGTGACATCCTGGGTATGCCACGATGCCCTTTGTTAAAGTGTTCCGAAGTGGGTGAGCTATTTTATTTGAGCTTCCTACTCAAATGCGCACCCCGTAAGTCATGTCATTGGATGGACTTCCCATAAATCATTCGTTAGAGCAATGGAGAAGAAATATCATAGCCAGGCTGAGACACGTGAAAGCGAAGCCCCATGGGCAGGAGGCTTCTTCCTCAAGATACCGAGGAGGGCCATCGCTACTCATCTTTTCCCTCCCCGTCAAGCACCAGCAGCCAAAGTTCGGTTACCTGTATTCCAACGCAAATGAAGATTCAACTAAAAATCCATCCGAAGTGGCAAGTATCCAACTTGAACACTTGAACATAGTGTTTGTTCACTGACGTACGGGGCAAGTTTGGACCAGGGAGCCAAGAGCAGAGCAAAACAGAAACCCCACCCTAATTCTTTCCCTAGGAGAAGCAGGGCGTTTGTTTCCGTTACAAAACCTGGGACAGGATCTGGTATTTTCACCAGAGGCATCAAAGTCATAGCCAGGGCAAAGATATTCACCCTGTGTGCATTATGAGAGCGAGAGAAGCTGGGATGGCCCGGAATCTGTCTCCGAGGACCCGAGCTGCCTCATTAAAAGATAAAAGATGATATCTGCTGAGCTGGTAGAAAGTGGTGGCTGCATTTTTATTATAGTCTCCGCTGCAACAACCCAGTCCCCAAAGGTTCATATTCCAAGAATGCCCACCCCTGTGCCCAGAGCATATAAGTGCTTCTCTGTAACTCATTAAGGTGAAACAAAAAAAGCTTTCCTATTGTGTTTTTCACACAAAGGGATGTAGTTGCAAAAAAGCGACATGCATTCTCTCCTTGTCCCAAGCCTGCAGAGATAAAACTGCCTTCATAATTTATCATAGGGACGCCCTCGAGGAGTACGAAGTTAATACGAATTGCTGCTTCTCCAACAGCCTGATGCAGGGCCCCGGCCAGGAGCTGGTAATTCTGGCGACTGGAAGTATCTTTACAGCGGGGAGTCTGCGCACCGTGGCTACCTGTTCCCATGCCGCTGGCCCGTGAAGAGTCATCAAGGCAGCGAACAATACTGTTTGCCTCGCAGTATTCAATCCTAGTGCCCCTTCTGTTCTCAATTTGGTGTCGAGGCAAAAAAAGTCACTTTAGCCACGCGGTAGCTTCATTGATGCACCAAGACCCAGGCCAACATCTCCAGGTCCACTCTTAAGGCCCTGGACCAAGCAGCCCAAGGAAGGGACAGGCTTCTCCTGGACAATGAATATCGCGGGCCACACAGCGCATGTCCGGGGCCGGTGGCGGGCCCCCTCCCACCCTCCAAGGCTACCACACAACACACAAGCTGTCCGCTCGCCCTGGCGCACTCGTACCCATGGAACATACCCTGGAGGCTCAGGATCCCACTGAAGTACAGCTCCCTACCTGAGGGTGGCGCTCTCCCCTTGCCGGACCGTCACGTTGTCCATAGCTTTGGGGAAGGTGGCATCGCCGCTGCGCACGGGCACTCCTGTGGGTACAAGGAACAGCAGCCTGAGAGACACGACCACGAGGCACTTCCAGGGCAGGAACAGGTACCCACAGACCCCCATCCTCGACAGACACAACTTCCCAGAAGTCAGCTGCGGCACAGTCCTTGTCCCCCCACACCAGCTGGCCGCAGGAAGTGGTGTGGGGAGAAAGGAAAGGGTTGGAGCAAGCCAGAGGCGCAGAAGGGGCAGAAAAAAGAAAGAGTCCAGGCTCTCCGGAGTCTAATATTTCTTCCTCAAATCCTGTCTCCGCTTTCCAGCCTAGCAGAACAAGATGCCCCTCCTGCATCCAAAACGAGCTTTCTGGAAGCTCCCCTGGGGAGGCCGGAGGCCAGGAGAAGGGAGAGCCAGGAGGAAGGTGCCGAGATGAAGGTCACAGGGTGCTCTTTGCTGCCTATCTCTTCAAGGTGCTACTTTCCGATTCAGTTGGGCATGCTCGGCAGAGGTTTGGCATCAAAAGTTTAGAACCCAAAGAAGCCAGGCAAGTATCTCTCACTTAGAGGAGAGGTCACAAACAGCGGCTGCTTCGAGGAGAGGAGTACATGCTTTATGACAGCGCACATATGCATCGGTATCTTTCCGAGCCAGACCCGAATCTCCGATCCGTCACCCAAAGGCGGTAAAAAGTTCCTCCGTCAGGGCCACGCCGGCGGCCCACGCCCGCGATGCTCGGGGCTGGTGGCCTCCGCCAGCACACGGCGGTCGGGCTCGGCTCTGGCCACGCGCCCGCGGGGGGGAGGCGGCGGGCGCGGGCGGCGATTCCGCTCGGACTCGCGCCGCTCAGCGGGGACGGCGGGGCGCTGCGTAGCCTGCCTCCTAGGAGCGCCCCCGCCTCTCGCTGCTATGGACGTCCCAGGTTGTCATGGCAGCAGCTCCATCCCTGACCACCACGTCTCCTGATGCGCACCCTGGAGCGCGCGCGAGCGCGTGCCCCCCACTCAGACTTTGTCTGGGAACCTCCAGGAGCCAGCGCCGCTCACCCAGCTCCCGCTTGCTTAACCCCCGCCGCGCCGGCCACCGAGCTGCGCCGGCCCGCAGTGGTCACTGGGACGCTGAAGCCATGCAGGATGCTGGGAGGCGGGGCGCCCCACATGGTCTCCACGCCTTCCCTTCACCCCGAGGGCGCTGATGCCAGCGCCATGGGCGAGAACGCTGCACCCAGCTCTGCGGTTACCCGGGCATAGCAGGGAGGGGGGCAGCGAGAGAAGGAGGACTGGGGAAAGCGCACACTGACACCTTCCTCCGCGGGATGCCTCTGCAGGGGTGGCCAAACCCCACCCTGAGTAGCTAAGCAGCCTGTTTCTAGAGAAGCTACAGTCCTGTGGCAAACTTGTGGCCTCTGCTCCTTGCTCCGATGAGCCCTTGCAGAAGCACTCAGGCCCCTCCACTGACGGTCCTTACCCCACGTTGGGAAACCTGGATTTCTCACTGCAGTAGCCGCAAGAGAGCCCTGTTCTGCTTTATGAACCTAAAAAGTGTAGTGTGGGGAAATGCATGGGATCCTAAAAAGTATGAGAACGGTTTTTTAGAAAATCTACCCCACACATATAATCACAACATGTGGTAGCACCATATGGCCTTGGGAGGCAACTTAGTGATGTGGTGGTCCCACAGGCTAAAAGTCTTTGGTGCTCAGATGAATGTATTCCGGTACTAATGTATGCTTTGAGCCTGTATGAGGTAGATGCTTGTTTAACCCGGCAGAAGCCTTCCCAAGTGTCTGACTCTTGCTCTATACCCTAATGGTTAACGGTTGCCATTTAAGCCAGGATGTACCAGTGTATCCTTTTTTTTTTTAATCCCTTTGTTCGCCTGGGTTCTGCACAATTGCCAAAATAAAATTTCACTTAAAAATAAGCATCGAGCTCTCATCAATTACTATTTCAGGTGCTGAGGAACACAAAGGTAGTGGTGAGGGGATGGACACAAAGATTGCCTCTTTTCCCTCTTGTAAAGTCCTTAGCGAACCTGTGTGAGGATAACAGGTAGGTAGGTAGGTAGGTAGATGATAGATAGATAGATAGATAGATAGATAGATAGATAGATAGATAGATAGATAGATAGATAGATAGATAATCTCTATCTAGTTATTCTCACACATGTGATAGATCTATCTATAGATAGAGAAATATTTCTATATCTATTTCTATATCTAGCTAGAAATATATCTATCTATCTAGTTATCCTCACACATATGATAGATCTAGCTATCTATCTACAGCTATGAGCGCTCTGGTTCCTATCTGAGCAGGTTTACTTCAAAGAAAACTTGATTTGAAAGTATTCCTGAAATCTCTGGAAGGCTGAAGACAAGTTCTCTCACTCAGATACTTTCCTTAATATTTAGGGTATCTTGAAAACAAAACAAAAAAGGTCCAAGCAAAACAATAGCCCCTAGGGGAAAATTGTTGGACCAATCCAAATTTGAGTAATCTTGATAGGGTTTCTCAAAGGACACAGGTGAAACCAGAGGCTTATTTTGAGAAAATGGAAAGCTGACTTGGTGATAAAAGGCCAACAAAGTTCCGTAGAGGAATTGTTTCTGCATCACAACAGCACCCCTGGTCCTTCTTTGAGGGCAGCAAGTGGTGTCCTACAAGAACCTCATTGAGAAACATTATCCCAAGCATCCTGCAACTTTTATCTTGTCCCCTTGGCTTCTTTTTGTCCTCAGAACAAAACAAAAATTATTCAAAGGGGATCTAGTTTGAGTTATTTAAGAATGCCAGACCTGCTATTGTGGTGTGATATAAAAACAGAAAATGCAGAATTCTTCAGGGAAGGGCTAGAAAGTTGGATACACTGTCATTCAAAAGGCATAGCTCTGGATAGAGAATATGTCCAGAAACAAGAGGCTTGGATTTTGATATTTTTGCTTAATAGAAATTGACATGATTTTCATAGCAATACTGTTATGTAAGTAATACTTACCCTCATATATTTTAAGTCAAAACTCATCAATTTAGCACAATATACCCCAGAATAAGCCAAACAAAAAAAACCCCACTGCCATTGAATTGGTTTCAACCCATAGAGACATAGGACAGAGCTGGCCTGTCCTTGGGGATTCTGCATCTGTAAATCTTGATGGGAGCAGACAGCCTCATCAGTCTTCCATGGCAGTAGTTCTCAACCTGTGGGTCGCGACCCCTTTGGGGGTTGAGTGACCCTTTCACAGGGGTTGCCCGATTGATAACAGTAGCAAAATGACAGTGATGAAGTAGCATCGAAAATAATGTTCTGGTTAGGGGTCCCCACCACATGAGCTGTATTCAAGGATCACGGTGTGAGGAAGGTGGAGAGCCGCTGTCCTATGGAACGGTAGGTGGGTTTGAATGGTTGACTTTGTAGTTAGCAGCCCAATACTTAATCCACACAACCACTAGAGCTCTGCTGACATACCCCCGGAAGAGAAACACGCTTATCCCTGGCTATGTAGGTTATAATGAAACACATCTTAAGTCCTTTCTCAGAAAAACAGAGCTTCATACAGCAGAGCACATCACTGTGAGCTCTTGAGCTACGGCCCTGGAGGCTCCATGCTGGCGCACAGGGGAGACAGTGACCTACTCTTGCTCCCCCCATACTTTTAACGGCGCACATCTGTCTTTAAGAATCGGGCAAACCTGAGCTTTCTTTGTATAGTTTGCATATAATTCTCTAAACTCGGTGATGTTCATGTCCATAATCACTAGGCAGGAAAGGGTGTGTGTGTATGTGTGTGTGTGTGTGTGTGTGTGTGTGTGTGTGTGTGTGTTGGGGCAAGTGAGGGGCAGGGGTGGATGGGCTTTGGCCTCTGAAAAGCTGAAAATGAATGACTGATTACAGTTTCAGTCTTGAACACTCTCTGTAGAGCAAGAAAATGCACGCTTCCGTCTGAAAAGTCTGGATAGGGTTAACAGCAACAGTGGGACTGGAACTGCCAGGAACTCAAGACCATCTTCCCAACATGTGCCCCTGTCGGTGCTGTTGCTTCTCAAGAGATGACAAAGGGGACAATTGCTAACTATGCAATCAGCTCAGCAAACATTGCTTTCAAAGGGATGAAAATGAAACTGAAAGTAGGAGAAGAATGGATGGAGCAGGAAAGAAGAGTGGAGATAGGTTGCAGTTTAATGAAACATATTACATCCTATTCTTGAGGACAGAATAAGCCAAGTCTCCCATTTATATCTCCACCAGATTGGCTCCCAACAAAAGGCAAGAGGAGCCCTTGAGAGCAGAATTTGTCTCTCCTCTTCTTTAAGACGTGTTCCCGGTTCAACATTTGTTGAGTACATACACGGGTTGAACCCAAGGTCTAGTGAACCAGAGAAGGACATGCAAAGGAGTGATCTTGATGTCAATCTCCAATTTGTGGGAAGATTCTATTCATCTGTATGGCATTGCGAGGGAGCAGCATGTGCATTTCCAGAAGGCCCAGGCCAAAGAGAAAAGAGGTGGATTTCACCAAGGAAAACAAAAACAAGCAAACAAAAAACACAGTCGTTTTTGTTGGGAGTTTTCATGAAATTCTTTACTGAGCATCATTCATCATTCATCATGGTGACACCACCCCCGCCCCCCCCCATCCCCTCACATAAATGCCCCAGGGATTAACTACATTGACCATGAGTACCAAAAACACTGAGAGTATTGCCTCTAAAGTTAGGTAATGTGCTGAGATGCTGACTCCTTACCTCGCTAGCTGTGTGAATAGTACTTAGTAATACCTATCTCATCTGTCTTTCAGACTTTGAGGAACGATTCATCTGAATATACATTCAACACATAACCAAAGCAATAGAAGAGCTTAAGAAACTTCATGTATAGCTACGTACGCCAAACTCCTGCTTTTATGTGCTACAAAGTGGTATATGAAAAGATATGAGGGAAAGAATGTGAATGTTCTATCTACACACTAGAGATTAGAATCAGCCCCTTGGAAATCTGTTATTTATGGGATTTTTCCACAAGAAATCAAAAACTTGGGTCCAGGTTGCAGGGCTGCAGTGATCAATTGAATGGAAACTGCTCACTAGTCATACAGAAATAACGCTGATGAAACTTGTGAAAGGAGATCCCGGTCAAAGAGAATCTCCTCGGGTTTGGGAGGAGAGAAGGTGAGAAGAAAGAGGGTCAAGAACCTTTGGCATCTCCATGTCAGCCTTCAGGGGACTCATATAATTCTAGCAACTTGACACTGCAAGTTGGCATGTGGAACCTAGCACCATTCCCTGGGATGTCCCACTGAAGGTAGTAAGAGATAAGGGAACCAACCTGGGCAACTTACCTAAAGTAGTCTGATCATCACATTATTCCACTTCAAATAGATTTAAAGCAGACTGTCTGACTATAAATTTTCACTTTACGTGTGGAATGTGTTAGCATTAATTGATTAATTCCAAGATTGATGAGCTAGAAAGGTTGATTCATTGGGTAATCAGAGAAAATCTCTTAAAGTGGTACAATTTGAACTAGCTCCTCAGGTTAAACTGTCATATCGAGGAGAGAAATATTGACATGGGTGTGTTCTCAACATTCCACAGAGCAGGAAAACATGAAGGGGAGAGAGACAGCAGAGATGGACTTGTGAGATAACAATTTATGCTTGACACACAAATAATTGTCCTGATGATTACAAATGACTGTCGTCAGCTATGAGCCAGAGCACTAGCTTGCAGTGGCTTTGTGAGTGGATGCTTCTAAACAATGGCAGGGCTGTGACAGCTACTGGGCCTGTGGC